AATTATAAAATAAATGTTTAGATTATAGTGTTTATAATGAATAGTTTAAATTATTTTTTGAGTGATATTAGTATCTAATGTTGTAAACATTAATTACGACATTAATTTCTTCCGTTAATTCTTTTAGTTAAGTGATATGAGTTATATACTAGTAATTTTAAAAAATTGATTTAAAATTTTAAAATTTAAAATTTTATTTAAAAAAGATATAAATTTTGAAATAACTTTAAAACTTTGAAAATATTCATTTCAATCCTCAAACTTACATTGGTCGTCGTTCTTTGCTATTGACGAAGTTTCATCCGCCCTCGCCTCCAACGCCCAAAACTTCTATGAAATTGTGATCGATCGACGATGAATTGAAGTTTTATATCATTCGAACTCTTGGATGAAAATCACGATTTCGACGAATTGACATTTTTATACCATTTGAATTCTAGGATGAAAATCATGTTCTTACACGATTTTCACGATTTTGACGGTCAATCAACGACAACTATGACTAGGAGAATCAACGACAACTATGATAACATATGACTAGGAAAATGATAGAGACTACGTCGATAATGGGGATTATGGTCGGAACGGAATATTAGGATTAGGATCCAATAATTTTAAGAAATTTGAGACTTTTTATAATTTTAAAAAATAGGGTTTTTGAGATTTAAACAATAGAATCTTCTAAGCAATTAAACGAGTTAAATGACGGTATAATTTTCTGAAGTTGTACATATTTATAGAAAATTTTCCATAAAAAAACTTTGATGTTTGGTCACAAAATAAGCAAGTAATGATTAGTATGCTGCAATTTGAAAAGTGGTCCTCAAAATCAATGTGCAATGGCAACTGCCCTCAAAATTAAATGTCTGAAAATAACCATTACTTTCTAAATGGAAAATTGGGCGCCCCCGTATCAATCAACGCCTTATCAACACCCACAAAAATGGGTGTTATTACTTTTAAAAGAAACCCCAAAATTATTTTTTAAACAGTACCTCAAACCATATTTCTTAAAAAAAAAGCCGTCAAATTGCATACATAAAATTACCTCGAGTCGTAAGAAAAATGAATAAATGACTCGCGTTATACGAACCTGAGTTTCCTCCAACATGGATACATTTTTCCAGAGAATATAATTTAATATTTTTAATTAATGATCTCGCGTGACACAAAACATGAGGTCCCCGAGATATTGAAATGTCTCGAGAAATTTCAAATATCGCGTCTTTTGGATGAACGTCGTTGTTTGCGAAACGCGAGGTCATTGATCCTTTTCGAATTTAACTTAATCATTATATTTTTATTATATAATATAAAATAAAATAACAGAAAAACTATATTGTTATAAATAGATAATACTAATTAAAATTAAAATTCAATATCTATGTAAAATGTTACAAAATAAAATTGTTTCATGATTCCACAAACAAGAATCATAACAACTACATAGATTGTTATAGTCCATTTGCCAAACTTGGTGGTATGAATTATGTGGACAATTGTTAGGACAATTGCAGGCTTCAATTTGTTCTGGGAAGGCAATGTTGTGACGAGTCCACGACATTAAGCCTAAAATCAGATCCATCTCCGAATGAATAACTTCTAAATATATTTTCTTAGAATTGGTGATGTCGAGAGCTTTCATGATTCGAAGTCCTTCATCTCTTAATTCACCCCTAGAACAATTTAGAATAAGACCATAGACATATATGATATTGATATTTCCTTTATTGGTTGTTTTCTTCAAACAATGCAGATCGAACTCCGAGTTCCTTCTACTAAAATGATTATTCATGTCGTCTCTATATAAAACTTCATGATTATTACCAGCAAGACATCTTTCATGAAATGTTTTCTCGGCTTGATTCCACGGTATGACATCAAATTTTTTCATTGAAACATTTTGAAAAATGTAATTGTGATATAACTTCATGAAAAGTCTTGCAACTCAACTGCGTGTTTATAAAATAAAATATAGAATTAGAAGCTACATACACAAGAATTTTTTATAACACTTCTCTTGGGAATAACTCTATAATATTAAAACACATTTTCTTTGCCATTTTTCTTTGAAATATGTCTAGGAAACCTTCCAAAATGAGCCCCTAGTTATAACAGTCATCGCACCCGTCTCGAAGCGAGGAATCGATCTAACTCGCGTTTTTCAGGACGCGAGATACATAGAAAAGAAACAGCGCTTTAAATTGAATAATATCCAACGTGTCAGATAGGAACTCACATTACACAGGATGTGAGGTACGTTGAATTTGAATCGAATAAAATCCAACGTGACAGAATTGACCTCGCTGGTTGAATTTAAATTGAAGGCGTTCTCCCGAGTCGTAAATTGTAAATTTTTTGTAATTTATAAGATTAGTGCATAATCTTTGATCTTATCTTTCAGTTTAGTCTAATATCAACATACACGAGACATTATAAGCGGGGTAAAAATCACGTTCAAAATGGTACCAAAACTTGTTTGTACATGAAGAACAAGCTAAAATGGATTGATAGACATGTTCGCTGAGTATTTTCAGGAAGTTAATAAAACCATTTGTGTAATGTTTGAGCTTAGAGGATAGTATTGCAACTTATCTTTCAATTGTTTATTTTTCTCTCTTATTTTTAATGAAAACAACAAACTGTCACGAAGAAATTGAAAATAAATTAAAAAAATTACAAATTTAACCTAAAAACGAAGAAAATTCGCAAACTAGCTCTGTTAGGGTACCTTGATGAAGTAGGCATGCAAGGAGAAGCAAATTCACTTGATTTTTTTTTTGAAGAATCGTCCCAAATTTGATACCAATTGATAGAGATGCGAAAGCGAATGAATGATTGTTGTTATTGTTGAGGAATCAAACCTAGAAAGCTCTAGATACGATGAAGAAAGAGAAAGGATTTGAATGAAGAAGATAATGATGGAGTTATGGAAGATGGATAATGTAGTTGAGGTGTGGGAGGATCTTTGTTGTAATATAACTATGTATTAAAATAATAAATAAAAGATATCCTAATAGCAATAAACTAAAGATAATTGTTTTAAATTTATCTTAATTTCTAATAAAACAATAAATCTAATCCTAAAAGATAATGCATCATCCTATATCAAATTATATTACAAATAATCAATGAAAATATATTGAAAATTCGTAATATTTACAAAATCACGTATAAGATTTTCTACATGTGCTATCTTCACTAAAATGGACATATTTTGAGTTTCTAATATCGGATTAAGGTGATTCAAGAACTGTTGGAAAGATAAGAGACAACAAGTTGTTACTTTAGAAGACATGTCATCCAAAAAACATCAGGATCCCATTCAAAATGGAGTCACAAGTATTTTGATATTCTATTCTTCTTTTCCAAGACTTGGTCATGTGGATTAATTATAATCGTTAGTCTATCTTTCTTTGATGTGAGTCTTGTGATGTATGTATCAGGATGCCTTGCACAATGTGATATGAGAACCTAAAAAAAGCTCAAAAGTTTTTTGAGAAGTAGGCAAAAACCTCGCATCGTGCAGATTCGTCTTAACCACGAAGAACGATATCGAATATATCCGATGTTGTAGAGGCACTTATGGTGCCTATCTTAGCGGAGATTAAGCCTGTAAACGAACCGAACGTTCAGCGAACCATTCGGTGGGAAGTCCATTTATATTCATTTATTTATTAAACGAATGAACATGAACAATATTTTATGTTAGTTTAATTAAATGAACGAAAACGAACGAAAACGAACAAAGGTCTCATTTGTTCATTTACGTTCATGAACGTTCGGTAATCCGTTTGTTTATGTTCGTCCATTGATGTCCTTTTATGTTCGTTTATGTTCGTCCATTGATGTCCGTGTATGTTCTTTATTTATGTTTGTTCATTTATGTCTGTATTTGTTCTTTTATATTCAATCCAATCTCCATACCCATTTAAAATATTAGAACTCAATCATTAATATTTTAAAACACAAATAACTTTAAACTTAAATTAATTAAAGAAAATATAAAACATACCAATTTAAAACCCAACTAATTTTAACTATGAAGCTGTATGTTACATTAATGAATAATGAATTTTATGTGGTTATTGTTGTTGTTTACGTTCATTTATTGTGTTTGATTATGTTCATTTGTTATGTTTATGCAGGTTCGTTTATGTTATTTTATGTTCATTTATTGTGTTCATTTATGTTCGTTTACATTCATTTGTTTATGTTCGTTTACGTTTGTTTATTGTGTTAGTTTATGTTCATTTATATCCGTTCGTTTATGTTCGTTAATTTGTGTTCTTTTATCATTTAAATGAACGAACATGAACACGCTACATTCCTTAACAAACAAACACGAACAAGAAATTTTGTGTTCGTTTATGTTCGTGTTCGTTCATTTGTTCAGTTAAAGTTAAACGAATGAACATGAATATACCCCATTCATGTTCTTTCGGTTTATTTAAAGGCCTAGCGGAGATGGTTAGGTTCGATGGAGCAAAAAGAAATTTAAATAGCCAAGAACCTCGATGTGACGTGGTTTTGAACTCACGCCATGTACAACACAATGTCCATTTCATTTCACATTAAACTGCCACGTAAAATCAACTGCCGCCACATTAGGAATCCTTGTAGAATTCACATTCTGCAAAACATGAGTTGCTTGCCACTTCACCTCAAGAATCTTTACAGGCACATGTCCCTTTTAAATCACGTCAATAATATATTCTTTTGGGAAAAAACGAGACTTACATTCGAATCCTTATTTCAAGCAAATAAATATAAACAAACGAACCATACAAAATTGTTTTAATCATAGATATTTTAATCGTAAGGGAATTGATCAACATTTATTTTAATTGTAAGTTTATTTGATGCTTCTCGATTATTACATAGTTTGAATTCATTACAATTTCTCTCTTATTTGTTCTTCTTTTTGTATGATTGTAGATATTTTCAAAACATGTCCGATAATAGGAAGTGTTACTACTTTGGTATACTATGATGGAAAAATGATGCGCGATGCATCTCTCGACATTGTCTTTCAGTCTGCACATAATGTGACGATAACATTGTCGAAGAAATTAACGTATAAGAAGTTGATGAAAGAAGTCAAGAAAAATGTTCCACATGGTCGCGGGAAAAAACTTGAACCGTTGAAGTATCAACTACCGACATTGTTGGAACCACTAACCTACTCAATATACAACATTGAGGACGATTATGATGTGGACATGATGCTCGATTGTCGCATGCAATATTCATTTGGAGGGCCCCTTAAGCTATATGCAAAATGGAGACGGGCAGATTTTCACTTTGATCCTAATGTTCATAGTCCGACAGCTAATTTATGTAACGACTTCAACTTATTCAGTACAAAAAGTTGGGACAATGACTTGGGTGTATCATCGTCTTCGATGCCAAGGTATTCTTGCATAGTTAGCTTGGACTTTGACCTGAATCTGCCACCATTGCAAGTGCAACATATAATACATACAATATTAGTGTAGATGCATCATCTTTTCAGCATGAAATGAGGTTGCAAGAATATGAAGTATTTAACCCATTCAATAATTTCTCAATATCTATGGGGAGACATTTTTGTGTTGGTGCTGTCGACTTTGATCTTGGTAGTACGGTTCGTGAGCGGTCTCATGATCGATGCACAAATACTACTCTTGTTATCTTTGTAGTGGACGACCCCAAACTATTCCGATTTGAGAATGATATTTTTTTACAAAGAATCGATAAGGGAGTTCGACCCCGATGGTGAGGAGATAGGCCCATTCAATGAAGAACCGAATGACCTTGATCTGCCGGTGGGAGAGAATGATGATGACATTCCACATGGTGTGCCTCATGTTTCTTATTACCAGTCACCATCCCACTTCACAATGGTTGATATGAAACCTTTTAAAACTCCAAAATTTTCATAACTCCCAAAACTTGATCAATACAACCAACATGGTGATGGTGAGTTCTATATTGGATTGATGTTCAGAACAAAAAAAAACTTGTTGTGGCTTCCATTAAGAACTATAATATAAGTCGCTCAATTATATCGACTATGTAAAAAATAGACGCGGACAATTACATGGCTAAATGTGTATACAAGTACGATGGATGTAATTGGAGAGTTCGTGTATCACGCTTGAAGAGATGAACAACCAATGGAAGCTGACAAAATACGACTAACCTCATACATGAACTGCCAACATGCTCACTTAGGAACATCCAAACTTATATGTTCACATGCTTTGTGATGCCTTTTTACCACTGGTCAAAGCAAATCCACGTATAATAGTTTCCAGTTGTATTGCTGTAATTACATCTCAATACAACTACACAATTAACTATCATAACGCATGTTATACTAGGTATCAGGCTCAACAAAAAGTGTATGGTCAATGGGAAGAATCATACAAAGAGTTGTGACCATGGTTAAAATTGATAAAGAAATACATATCGGAAACAGTTGTGAAATTGGAAATTGTGAGGTTGTACGAAAATGATCATGTCATATAAGGTATGTGTCAATTCCACATGCTATTTTGGACATATCTGTAGTGTGATAATGCATTATGCCATTGCAAACTGATGGTTCATATCGATAATACTTGATTGTATGATAGATACACACAAATACTGTTGTTGGCGGTTGCACAAGACGTCAATAGGAAAACTATTCTCATCTCCTTCACAATAGTAAAAAGGAAGACATCGACTTTTGGGAATTCTTCCTTACGTACTTGTGTAAATATGTTCTATCACATGTTTTACGTGAGCGTTCTGGTGGGATATGTCTTATTTTTTACAGAGGCACATGGATCAGATATATAATTGAGCATATGAGACCGTCTTGGCAACCTCCCTATATTTATCACCAGTACTATTTACGTCATATTGTTGCAAATAATTTGTATAAGTTTCAGAACGAAAATGAACATGTAATGGTGCTTTGAATGTGTACGTCTTCCACTCTTTTGGGTTTCATGTATCTTTTCATTTATTATTTATAATTAACTGTTACATTTTTAATGAATGGGCCACTTACATTCCGTACGCGAGGTTGATGAGCTGTTTCAAGAATTGAGACACAAGAATCAACAAGGCTACAACTACCTTGCTAAAATTTCGAGGGAGAAATGACTTCGATCATTTGATGGGGTAGACGATATGGTCACATGGTAACGAACTTGACTTATGCGATCAATTTATCAATGAAGGGAGTGTGACATTTGCCTATCACTTCCGTTATCAAATTGACATATTATCGGTTGTAAACCCTGTTTATAACCTTGGGAAAACAATCAATTGACTAGATTGCAGGTGGCCACATAATCCACCAAGACCTCCACACAAATTTACAAACCTTTCTGCAGCACTCAAACGCGATGAATGTGACATGTGTCTATCGCGAATAAAATAAATTGTTTCAAAATATTCGAGGCCATTGGAAGGCATACAACACAATGCATATGTCATTATTCTACGTGACATAACCTACGACTACAGAGTATTCCAAACATTCAAATACTCGTGTTCACACGTCAATGTTGCTTGTTCTTTTATACTGATTTACTACATACAATTTGTTGATCATGTATACTTACTTGAAACCATATTCAATGTGTATTAGTACGAGTTTTCTCCCATTGGAAATGAAAGGGATCCAGATGAATTTGACGATGAACCTACAATACGGTTAGATTTTGCACTACGACGCGAAAAAAGGGTCGTCCATGATCAACAAGGATTTACTGTGATAAGGATTTGGCCAAATATCGAGAAAAACTGGACAACCAAAGCTATAAAATATTTGTAGGAATCCCGGACACACGAAGAACAAATGTCCTAATCGATCACACCCTCGTATCGATTAATTTGTTTTAAACTAAGACATTTTTTATGTTTTAAATATATCATCCAATCGAATATAATGTTAAAATTTGTTTAAATTATTAATAAGTTTTAATTATTAATTTGTTTAAGTTATCATTCAACAATATGATTTTTACTTCGTCTCGAACATGCCTATCAAGCCATGTTAGCTTCTTCATGATGTAGAAAACCATACTTTTGAACCATTTTTAACGCGATTTTTACCCCACTTACAATGTCTCGTATGTGCCAGTATTACCTTGAATTGAAAGATAAGTTACAATACTACGCCTATAATCTTATAAATTATGAAAATTTTCATATTAACTACTCGGAAAAACCCCTCGAATATGCCTATCAAACCATTTTTAGCATTTTCTTCCTTTCGAACAATTTTCAACGCCATTTTTAACTCGCTTACAATATTTCGTATGTCTCGATATTGACTTCTACTGAAAGATAAATTCCAATATTACGACTCTAATCTTATAAATTACGAAAAAAATTTAGATTAAATATCCAAAAATACCCCTCAAACATGCCTATAACTTGCGATTTAGGCTAGAAAACTACATACCTCGCGTTTAGTATAACGTGAGGTATGTTAAATACCTCACAATATTTACCATCTCGGGACGTTTCAATATCTCGGGGACCTCGCGTTTTGTGTAACGCGATGTCATTAATTGAAATATTAAATTGAATTCTCTAAAAAGCGTATCCACGTTGGAAGAAACTTGCGCCTTGTATAACGCAAGGCCTATACTCGCTTTTCTTAGGACGCGAAGTAGTCCTACATGTGTAGTTTGGAGGTATTTTTCAAACAAATATGATTTGAGGGTATTGTTCCAAAAAAAAAAAATTGAGAGGTTTTTAAAGTAATAACGCCAAAAAAATGCCAACACTCAATATAATATGGATCATAAGCTTAAACGCCGGCTGGTATTGTCGGGTATGGTGAGGAAGTTTCAGGTAAGCTAAACTTTCGGTTCCGTTATGTTTGTTTCTCGGGACTCTGGTTCCCTCCCATTAATTTAAAGCGAGTAAACTAATACACATTAACAATTAAACCAACAAAATTTTTCATTTGTGTTCGTTCATTATGTTGGTAATGCTCAAACCCACATAGTATTGTCACATTTGTTTCAACTTTGTTTAGCTTTTTATCATCAGTTTTGAAAAAAAAAATCTTTTGGTCACTTAAAGTTTATTTGTTGCAATTTGATCATTAAACTTTTAACCCCTCGTTACTATGAAGTCTCGTTTAAAAATTAAAGTTTTAAAGGTCTTCAGGAATTTATGACTTCTTGGGTTCAATGTTATGGAAGATGGTGTTGATATTAGCATTCCTTCATACATGCATACTGCATATATCTCTTTGTATGCCCTTCAGTGGGTTATCTAACAACTGAGTGACAACTTGGCTATATAGGCTGCTAATATGGCAACGATTTTCAATGTGGTTGTGCTGTCCGCTGTTTATCTCTTCCCTTTCGTTTTATGTTGTAACTGCATCGAGTGACGGGTTGGTTCGGATTGGGCTGAAAAAGATGAAATTGGATCCGAACAACCTGCTTGGACCCTCTGAGGAGATGGATGCTGTTGCCTTGACGAAATACAAGCTTGTTGATTACAATGGTGAGATTGCTATAGGAACTCCACCACAGAAGTTCAAAGTGGTATTTGACACTGGCATCTCAAATTTGTTTGTACCATCAAGCGTGACTCGGTGAGCCCCTGCATTTATGTTTACCATGGATGTGTAGTGAAAAACTGTTTGCCTTGATAATTGGGAAAGCAAACTTATTTCAAAGGTACTGATTTATGCTCTTACATTATGGTGTAGTTTTCATGTTACATCCATTCCAAGTACGAGGCAAGTCAGTCGATAACATATAAGAAGAGTGGCATGTCTTCTCTTTTTATTGCACTCGTAATTTATATATAAACTTGTTCTTCTTTATTTTCAGGACATAAGAACAATCTTAAGTTCCTGGTCATGTTCATTTGTATAGTAACATGTGAAATTTTTACTTTCAAAATAATGATGGATGCTTCTGACATTCTTCAAGTTCATACAGCTAGGTCGATTAACTTAAGTCCGAAGATGGTAACTCAGAACATACTGCATGCTTTTCTGGCCTATTATTATTGAAATTGCTCTAGGTCTTTTATGCAACCAGTTGTTAATAGGCTTACTGGGTAAATTGAAATATGGTGTCTATTTCCCATGGATGATAAAAAAAAATATAGTTGTACTGTCATATTTGATGCAGACGAACCTGTTGTTGTTTACTATGTCAATGCTCCAATATATGGCTTCTTTAGTTACGACAATGTTCAAGTCGGGGACTGGGTTGTGAAAGATCAGGTAAGTGGAGCTAGTCATCTTCACTCTCATTTTCCCATGATATAGTAGTTTGAAACTTTAAATTAGGTAGCCTATTAATTGTTTTATTTACCAGGAATTTGTTGGTGCTTCTGGACCAAGTGTTTCGGTTGGTACGGGCAGGGCTGATGGGGTATTTGGACTTGGGGTTTGGGAGAATTCATCCGGCCTTGCTCTGCCAGTGTGGTATGTTTGCATTTAAACTTCAATTTACTTCTTAATGATATGAGCTTATCTTGGACCACTTGTTTGTTTCACGGGTACAACATGTTCTTTCAAGGTCTTATGAAGTACCCAATAATTTCATTGTCGCTTAACCGCAATTTCGAGGAAGAATCGGGTGGTGAAGTTGTGTTTGCTGGGAGTGATCCAAACCATTACAAGGGCAAGCACACATATGTCCCTGTAACAAAAACAGGCTTCTGGCAGGTTGGCCTTTCCAACTTAAGTTTTCATGTGTAGATAAATGTTTTATATATTGTTGTGTTTCTTATTTTTCTAAATTAACTTTTTCATTTTGATAGTTTGATATGGATGACATTCTCATGAACGGCAATCGAACTGTTATGTTTCTAAATTAAGTACTTGATGCTCATGACATGTTTTCAGGATACTGTCCAGGGAGCTGTGCGGAAAATATAGATTCTGGAGCTGTGCGGCAAATATAGATTCTGGAGCTGTTTGGATTGTTGGTCCAAAGGTAAGCCATAATGCGGAACCAACAACATGGTCCTTTCGTCTTTGTTAACATGGTTATTGATGCGATCCCAGACTAATCTATTTGTCTTGGTGCAGACTGTTATAGATGAGATAAACCGTGAAACCGGTGCCAGCAGAGTGGTCAGTCTGGAGTGCAAGGCCGTGGTTCAACAACACGGGAAAACCATCATCGATTTACTTTCAGCTGAGGGGAATTCTAGTTTTACTCTGAATGTAAATTTGCATATAAACTTGCATCTTGTAAACTTCATCAGCGTGATTGGTTTTCAGGTTGTATAATTACTTCACTTCTAATGACTGGTTTTCCCCCCATTCTTTCCCTACAGGCACAACCGAAGAAAATCTGCTCGCAAATTGGATTGTGCACTTCAGATGGTGCTCGTGGTGTAAGGTCAGGCTCTGTGGTCTTTGTGTGTGTTGCCACTTAATACGGTCTAGGTTTAAAGCTGTAAACTAATGGTGTGCTCGAATGGACTTTTATATAGTATGGGCATTGAGAGTGTGGTGGAGGAGAGCAGCAGCAACTCATCTGGTGTTCAAGACAGTACCAAGTGCCATGCTTGTGAGACGGCAGTTATATCAATGCAGAACCAATTAATGCAGAATCCGAGTCAAGACATCGTATCGGAATTCGTTGATCAGGTGATACGTGATAAACTTAATGCTTGTGGAATAATTCGTCAACGCATTCTTTCCGATGCTCTGATTCTTACCATTAGATACTTGTGTAGCTACGTGATCGGATGCTGAATCCAATGGGACTGTCTGCTCTCATTCTTTCCGATGATCATATATGTTCGTTGGAAGCAGGGCGTGGCTTGGGCGGCGCAAACTGCGCGACCGCGCAGGGCCCCCAAAAAAGTATATATATAGTGGCGTTTTTTTAATAAATACCATAGTTGGACCTATTGCGACGTTTTTCAAAAAAAACGCCACTATTATTGCGACTTTATTGATAAAACGCCATTATAGATGTATCTATTCGCGGCGTTTGTCAAGAAAACGCCACTATTATTGCCCCGAAATTGAATATATCTAGAAAATAGGGTTCTTTTTAAAAATTTATACATGACCCCCGAAAACCCTTCCACGGCCCTGGTTGGAAGTGACGGTATTATATCATGTACAAGGTGCTATTAGATGCCCTCTATAGATATCAAACTAAATGTAGTAGATAAATACATAAGCATAGTATTGATGAAATAAAATTTAAAATATTTATTTAAAAAATATAATTTAAACATTTATTTTTCATCAAACCTTATAGAATATTTTCAGTGTAGGACATATGAACAGAAGCAACTGTTTGCCTCGTCATGTTTGATGCAGCAGGTAATTAAATCACAATTCACGAAGCCGAGATAACTTTCTGACTTTTAGTATGTGAAATACAATGAGTGCATGCGGAAACCTTATTGAATAAATTAAACGAGTCTTCGTCATCTATTTTTTTTTAGAAAATTAAATTTTTAAATTTTTTTAGTGAATAATATAGGTAGAAAATTCTTATTAGGAGACTCACTTACAGAAACTAAGTATATAACATGAGTCAATCTTAATTAACCAAGACCTAATTAATCAAGGCGGAACTTTAGAATCAAGAGGGCAATTAAAAAAAGATCACATTAATTGACAAAGCCAAGACATGGTTCTCACTTTTTGGTACGTGAAATACAATGGGTGCATACAAAAATCTTATTGGATAAGTTAAATGAGCCTTCGCCCTTAAGACATCTATGTAAAGACGAATGAATTTATGTTATAAGAATAATTTTATAATTTTTTTAATTTTAAAATAGGATAAATTTATAAAATTTTAGAGATGAAAATAGATTATCAATAAAAAATATTTTTAAAATAAATGATAATTTAAAGGGTTACTTTTCCATCCATCCTTGCGTGTATGTGTTTTGTTTTGTTTTGTTACTAATGAGAGCTCAAAGTCAAACATGTGGTATTCCCACTTTTTGGTTTGTCATTTTGGTATGAATCTAAGTTCCAATATGCTTATGCTTGAAGCATATCATCCTATGATTCATCCTAATTACGCACTTTATGTGTGTTGATTTTATCTTAGTTAAATCCTTGTATAGGGTGACAAAAACTTAGGAGAATAGTTTTATATTATAACCTATAGTAATTCCACCTAATAAACTTGGTTGGCTGACTCAACACTTTTATCTTGGGGGGAGGGGGGTTTCACTTGAAAAGGATGCCTTTTGAGGTGTGTGCGCCAAAAAGGCACCCCACGCCATGCATTAAAATACTCTAATTAAATCGTAGGACTGAGTCCAACTCGGCACCCAATAAACCAACCAAACCAATAAAATGGAATCTGACTGTGATAGTGAAGAAGAGTGGGTTTGAGAACAGTGACTGAGTTGGGTGTGTTGCTGCCTTTCCTTCACTCAACTAAATTCCAACCCTATTTATCCTTTCTTCTTAAACTTCACTCACAATCCAAGTAAAGCAAACTGTTACAACCCCTCATCTATTAATCTAGCCACCATGGGTGCAAAAGCAAATGGTCCAATTCTTGATTTCACTCTTTTCACTTTATAACTTTCCTATTGCTAAAGTTTATGACTTGAATTATGTTATGATCCGACTCAAAAAATTTATGGTACGACTCGCTTGAGTAAAAAATAAATTGAAAAGAAAAATGAGGATCTATGATGGACATAGAGGCTCTCGGCATATATTAATAGAATTCTAAGATTTGATTAAACTAGGGTTTATGTGTCTCGTTGCTATATATATATGTAACTAGGATTCTATAAATTGATATACCTTTATGAAATCCTCTTGCATTTGTTATTGACATGATGAGCTTTCTTCTTTGACGGGAAGTTTTCTCGTTTAGAATTTTCAAACAAAATATGTGTGTTTTTGTTTGCGATTATACTTCTTTAATCGAAGTTCATTGTCACACGTACTTTACAAAAATTGAAAAAGATAATCTATTTAAGCAACACTATTAAATATTATCATAAGATCTCTAACCTATAATTCAATATTTTATACACAAGGAATTAAAGAAATATACAATTTATATGCAATGAACTAACCATAAATCAACGGTTCAAGCTCATGCATTTACTAACTGTTGGAGTAATTTTTTCAGTTCTGTAAAACACAAAGATTAAATACCGATAAATTAAAGAATTTAGATTAATTGGTTAATTTTTATAAAGTAGAAGGACGAAAATTATAATTAGATAAAGTCATTAGAACGTTAGGAGTTAGGTATAAGGACTTAATCTTGCTTTAGTGAACTATCACTAGTTTAAACAATAACTTGCTCAAACACTTGTAGAATATATTATAATCACTAATCCTCACCATCTTCTAACTTAATTAAATTTTCTTGTAAAGTCAACTGAAAGGAATGATTACTTAATTCATAAACTATCGATAAGAAAACAGTTTACTTTCGGAAAGTGGTCCACATGTTTTATCATTTTAATTTAATATCTAAGTAAACAACAGTTAATTAAAGTCGACCACCATATTATGGATAAGGTTGTTATTAATGGACGATTTAAGTAGTCTACGTGTTAAATTAATTGTAACTATTTCTTAAAAATTTGGGTTTGAGCATTATGAGACTTCAAAGTTAAAAGATTAAGAGATGTTTTAAACATATTAATAAAAAAAATTAGTAATAAATATGCTCATGTCGGATATATATATTTATATTCAATATTTACAACATAGTTTGTTTCATAAGGAAACGATTATTTCAACTAATTTGTAATTTATATAAGATATTATAAAAATCTAATATAAAAACATTCCTTTAAATATTTAATGTTAGTATCAATGGGTGGGCACCTAGCTTAATCTAAGCATGTAAGCAATCCACCGTCCAAGTCGGCCAAAGCTTTGTCCTTTCGCCGCGTGGATCGCTCTAGTTTCCACTAATATTAAAAAACGGCGGCCGCCCATTGGCCACAACTTTGTTGTTTAGGAAAAGCATTTATTAGCCAAAACCCACCACGGTTTTGCATATAAATACTCACCACCGAACCCAAATTCCCTCCAAGTTCCAAGCTTTCAACTTACAAATGGGCTGGACACGTGGCAGAATCATCGGCCGTGGCTCCACCGCAACCGTCTCCGTCGCCACAGATAATCACTCCGGTCGCGTCTTTGCAGTTAAGTCCTCTGAGCTGTCTCAATCGGAATCTCTTAGAAGGGAACAGAGCATTCTCTCGACGTTAAGCTGCCCTCAAATTGTAGCATATAAAGGGTGTGACATTTCGTTCGAAAACGGTAAGCTTTTATACAATCTATTCATGGAATATGCACTAAACGGCACCGTCACGGATGCAATTCAAAGGCACGGCGGTGGCCTCGACGAGGCAACGGTTCGATCCTACACTCGTGGGATTCTATCGGGGCTCGAGTTTCTTCACGTTAATGGAATCGTGCATTGCGACATCAAAGGCCGGAATATTTTGCTCACCGACGATGGGGTGAAAGTCGCCGACCTGGGTTGCGCTAGGATAGCCGACGGGTCGATCTCCGGTACGCCTCTTTACATGGCGCCGGAGGTGGCGCGTGGTGAGCAACAAGGATTTGCCGCTGACGTATGGGCACTCGGGTGTACGGTCATCGAGATGGTAACCGGAACAACGCCTTGGCAGGATTTCGGCGACGACGACCCTTTATCGGCCTTGTACAGAATCGGATTTTCAAGCGACGTGCCCGAAATTCCCATTAATATTTCGAAGCAGGGGAAGGATTTTTTAAGCAAGTGTTTGAAGAGAGACCCTGGTAAAAGATGGTTTGCAACTGAACTTCTCAAACATGATTTTGTTAAGGAATCGAATTTTGCAGTGAAAGGAACAGATGGGTCACCATTGGAGACACCCACCAGTGTTTTGAATAAGCAATTATGGGGCACCACGGAAGAAGAGTTTGATACAGTTCATAGAAAACCATGCTTGCCCACCAAGTGCTTGATGAAAAGGTTGCAGCTATTGGTTGAAGACAATGTTGTTTTCCCTTCGAAAATGCCCGACTGGGATTTGGATGAAGATTGGTTAACTGTTAGAAGCAGTGGAAGTAACAATGTGGATGAAGCGACAAGTATGTGTGGGAGCGTGGGGCATGATTATGACTTGGGGATTGATTACTATGATTTATCAGAGATTAGTGGGCAAAAAAGTACTAATTCTACTCGTAATGTTGTTGAGAGTAGGTTTAAAATGAGGTCAATTATTGCATGTAAATATGCGACTTATAACTCTAATAATATGTGCTTGCTTGATGCTTTTTTAATACTGTCAAATTATGGCTTGGATCCCTTTACTATTCTCAAATTCTAGATTTAGTTTTTAGACTCTAAGAAAATTCGAAATGACACAGATTATTCATCAAATGATAGTATTAATGAAGCTCGAATGTAGCTTTACATAATCCGTTGGACTTGCATTTGTTCTGCAACCACCGGATGAGGCATTACAGAGTCTACAATCTAAAATTGATCTTGTTGATGAAAAAAAAAAGTTGGGATGATGGTAGGTAGTTCAATCATTTTAGTTTAAGTGAAGAGCTACAGTTAATAATTTTAAAAGATGAAGTGGGCAGCATGATCCTCAATACAGTGTTTAGGCAGCTGAGAGAAACGTGTTTAAATGTAGTAGGAATGAAGTTGAAACACGCCTGTCTTTTTCATCAAAGTCTAGTAGGAAATTTATTGTTTAATAATGGCTTGTTCGTTCCCATTACCCTTGTTTTCCCTGGCCGCTGCTGAATCAACACACAACTTGTTTAAGGCTAATGCAAGCTCGCAGCTGCCGGCGATGAACGGTTGTTAGGTGGAACTGATCCATTCAACATTGCAATGTTTTCCCATTATGTCAAGTAAAAAAAACTCATCCATTCAACATTTTAGTTCCTACTTAAATCAAACCCATCAGTCCCCAAATTACGAAGAAAAGGTAATTTCTCAATCAGTAACTCACAAATCCACTGTATAATCCCATATTAAAAACGATAACGGCACCTAAAAGTTTTTGGCCATAGGTTCTCATTTTCCTCAAGTATTCTTCTTACTACCTGAATGTGACAAACTCTGGTCCAAAGATTCCAACTGGTTCCGGAGGTTTTGATTCTCCTCAAGCAGCCGATCGTATTCGAGAAGAAAACCTTCGGACTGTTTCCTTAGAGCAACTGCATTGGCTTCAGCAGCATCCATCTCTTTTGTCTTGCTCTCAAGATCATACTCCAGGTGCTTCAACTTTGACCTCGGAGTGGTTACTTCTTCCTCCAAGGCCTTAACTTTGTCCGAGCCATTTGGTTTTCCATCCTCAAAACCGGGACCCTGTTTCTTGATAGCTTCCATGCTCTTCCTTCGGATCCGGAGTTCTCTGATATAGTGGTGCAACCTGTCTATCATCAGTGCTAGGAATAACACTCCCCCTGCAAAACGTTACCCAACATTAAAAATCCAAGTTAACTGTGCAAATAGGACATGGGCGAAAAGCCCCATGAAATTCAAGCAGAATTAAGCAACCAGCACTTGAAATCATAATTACAACTTCGGTAAATTGATATAAGATGTTAAGAATCATTAAAATCAAAGAGAGGGAATGAAGTTGTTGCCTTGTTCGAGAATGCATTACAATCTGACCAATAAGGTATTGACGCTTGATACCAACACTAAAGGTGACTATAAAAACTCTTATGCAAGATTGAGAGGATCTCTCTTCCTCTTCTTTTCTTCTCCCGTAGAGAGAGAAGAAGACTTATCATCTTAAAATTGATCACTGGCGTAACTGTAAATCTATCGACTATAACTCTACGTTTAAATAAGAAGGGTGAACTACTTATAGCAAATGTGACTATATGTAAGCTAAGAAACACATTTTCCGGCTGAACCATCTTAGAAGATGAAGCAATGAATCAATACTGGGAATTGATCAAAATTAAAAAGGGTATTTTTAGTTTTAGAATCTTAGCTGAATCCTGATAAATTGCAATCTCGATGTTCAGCCAATTGGGCCAAAACGGGAAACAAAACGAAGAATCAACAAATTAAATTAAAGTAAAAAATCAGGCAATTAAAGGGCGATTAGATTTGAAAAGAATCCAAGGAAAAGCTAATTTTACCCATGAGTGTAGCTTCGAGAAGGTGTTTGGCCGTGAGGATCTGATCCGTCGGAGTAGCCGCGCCATCATCGATCCAACGCTTCTGGATCTTCATGACGCCGTAGACGCTCGACATCATCACTATGGAAAGCGTTCCGGCCACCGTCTTTACCACCATCGGGCCGCGTCCACGCTTGATCCGATCCAAAATCATCAGCGTGAGCTTCCTAAACGGTGTCTTGAATGATAATATCATGATCACCGCCATCTCCGAGAATATAACCACGAACAGTAAGTTGATCATTTTTAAAAAATTCTCCTTTTTCTTTGAGAACCCTCAAGGAAGTTGGTTTCTTTCTAGTTATGGAAGGGTGGAAGCCAATACTTTGAATCAGAGCTTCAGAGCCAACGAGGAAGGAAGATAAAGGAGAAGAAACGGAGTTGAATCCGTGTTCGGAACGTGCAACTTTTTGTCTTCAACTATTTGGGTTATCTTCTAATTGGTTCCTAACATTTTAATTAATTTTATTCATGGCTTTATGTTTTGGCTTATATATCAAATTGGTCCCTCTAATCGTATCCAAAAATCAAATGAGCCCCTATCTGAATGGAGCAAAACCGAGGATATTAAGGAGACCCAGACTCAATTTATTTTGAATTGGTCTGGCCCAATAGGATCGTATATACTTTTCTAAAAAATATCATGTTCGAACTGAGTGTTTTTTTTCTTCTAAGATTAGATTGAGTTTGAGTAAAAAATCATTAACGTTAGGTAGTTTTATCTCTTATGTCTTTAGAGATAATTAAAACAATACTTCTTTATTTATATTTTTTAATTAAAATTTAATTTTATTAAATAAAAATGATTACTCAGATCCACTAAATCTTTCTATATCCAAATCTAATCAAGAAAATATAATACTCAAATCAACCAAAATTCTGACCAAATCAGACCTATACCTATCCATCTTACATAAAAAAATTACACTAAATAAAATTATCTCAAATATTGAAAACACACTTACATATTTTTTATGATCAGCTTTTTAAATAACATATTTCATATATTAAAAAGACTAATTTAATATATATATATTTGAAATGGGTGACTTTTCGCTTTATTTTCTTACTTAAAAATGATGTACAAAATAAATGATTTTAGTGGTCGGAGGAGTGATTGTTATCTTTAGAGGTTTTGGCTTCAAGTATTAACAAGTATTAGGTATTTGAGAGTTTATTATCAAATAATTGAGAGTTTTTAGAATAAATACCACCAACTATAATCATCCTTGATTAATAAAATAAATAAATTCTACTGTAAAGACATTGTTGTGATCTTTACTATTGCTTGTGATTTTGTTAATACAAATTTAAAATGATAAAAATATTTAATTATGAAGTTATAACAATAAAAGAGTTATTCTTACTTGTAATACAAATTTAAAGTAAAAGAAAATATTAATTATAAATTTATAAGTATAATCATAATTGCACAAATTAAGTCACCCCATTGATTAAAAAGATAATTGTTATCTTTGAAGGTTTCGGGGTTGAGTACCAAAAAGGGTAGAGTATTTGTTCATTGTCAAATGATTAAGAGTCTTTAGAACATATGCTACCACTTATAATCATCTTAGATTAATAAAAATATAGATAATGGGTATTCGAATTTAATGAAACTTCACAAACGATACTATCAATTAGATTTTAGTTTTGGAATTATATAAGTTGATGAACTAAATTCATTTTAATTAAATTAAGAATAAATTTTAACGAGGTCCTAATCTGAAAAATATAAGGACTAATAACAAAATTAAACCCCGATATTTATTATCAGTTAACACCTAGTTGAAGATTCAAAGATGAATGCCAACTCTTGATAATGAAATTGTCGGGATGCCTTTGCTACCTGTACGAGTTGCTCAACTATTCATTCTTCAACATGTGGACCTCCTCTAAACCTTATATTAACATAATTTAATTGATTAAAATTTATCATAATTATTTTTATCACTAGAAGAGGCTTCAATGGTGTTTGCTATTGACCGTGACAACATACACACACAAAAGGATTAGTTAACTTATTTATAATTATTAATATTCAATTGATTGATGATAGATTAAATCATATAATTCTGATTTTACAATTTTAAGATTAATTTTTAGTTTAAATTAGTTTGGATTCGAATTATTTCAATTTTTTAATCAATTCAAGCTATTTGAATTACTTATATTAGACTTATCGAGTTAATTCTTTACTATAAAATCAAATTTAGACTTGAATTTGGATCAAAACTGACCCTCCCTACAATCAAAATCCAACTTGTTTCCTTCCTTATAATTCCCTAACATGAAAATAAATTAGTAAGATTTATTACAAAAAATTATGGATATATAGACTAAAGTGAAAACGTGGCCATGCATGCAAGGGTAACCGGAGCATATTTGGATGATAACATTCACAATCACAAACGGTAGAATTTGATCCGACAGGGAAGTAACTCATGGGAATGGGAGACTTTTCTTATCCTTCAGTTCCTCTAATTTTCCATCATTACCAGCTTTAACTCCTGTCGATGATGGTGGACTATCGTCTCCCTCGGAAGCTACCTCGATAGAATTACCAGAGAAAACTCGTAAAGAGAGCCATGGGAAATTAGGGTTTAACTTGCAGGAATCTGAGAGGACCGTTCCTTTGCTTGTGTAAGAGCAAAGTAGTGGGTTTTTTTCTGCTATGTTGATGGTAATAATATTGTCGATATAAGTAGGGTGGTGGGCTGAGGAAGGAGACAGGAAGCAGGTGAAGCGGACATGCATGAATCCTGGACTGATGGAGTTGCTTTCAGGTTTGTTTTCCGATACGCCTTGTTGGAAACAAGCTGTGGGGATCTAATTCGTGGTCCACAAGGCAAGAAGGGTTCAATTGTCAAATTCGGCACAACAGTTGGTACTTTGACTATATGACGAATCCGGCAGCCTATTAGACTTCCATACGTCTGATTTTTATCATTTATCACATGGATAATGATCAGTAAACTATCCTAAAATAATAATAGCAAAAAATTATAAGTTTGCGTAAAAAATCATAATAAAAAAGAAATCACGTATAAAAATATTTTTATAGTAAATTTAAATCAGATCTCGACGCCTATTAGTGTTGTTAATGTTACTTTAATTTTTTTCAATTATGGAAATTACGACGCTTAAAAATCTCTACCAAATAAAAACGATTTCAAGACACATAGACGTTGAATTTAGTTAAACCTATTCCCTCATAAATTTTGACTCGTATGAGCGTCAACACAATTTAATATCAAAGAACAAACATATTTCTAAAACTAATTACAATAAACGCTAAATTTTAGGTTTGATGTGTCAAATTTTAAAAAATTATATTAAAAATTTATAGATGTGAAAATCATAAAATTGAAAGAGTATAAAATTAAATAATTAATATAAAATACACAAACTAAGTGATATTAATGGTAAAAAATTGTTATTGTTTCTTGAGATTTAGGGTTTGACTACCATAAATGAACAAGCGTTCAGTGTTAAATGGCTGAGAGTTATCTTTAAACATATATTACCTAGTATTTATCATAGATTAATAAAAAATAAAAATACTTAAAATTTATTAAAATTTAAAAAATTACCATATTAATGTTAGAGACCGTAACTCGAATTCTGTTTATTGGGCCTACTTATTTCGCGTCCGTACACATAGATTTTTCTCAAGTGATGATGTTTAATTTTGCAACTCTTCTTTTATTATTTTCAACATAATGATTTTTTTTTCTCTCGTCCTCGAATTTTTATATAAGATTTTAAAATAAAATCTGTTTTCATCCTATTTTTCTTTTGTTTGATTTATAATTTTTTTTATCATTATCCTTCTGAATTTCAGAACCTATAATTTATAAAGCAAAAATTAGTGACAATAACGACTCTTTCACATATAAATTAATAATATAATACAAATGGAATTTCAATTAATTACACAACAACAACCTAATCAAATTTCACCTTGTTTCTTTCTCTATAATTCCCTTAACATGAAGATAAATTAATAAGATTTTTTAAAAGAATGTAGATATATAGAATACAGTGAAAACGTGGCCACGCATGCAAGGGCAACCGAAGCATGTTTGAATGATACATTCACAGACGGGAGAAATTTGAGCCAACGGGGAAGTAACTCATGGGGATGGGAGGGCTTTTCTTCTTTGATTTTCCGTCACTACCAGCTTTAACTTCGGTTGATGATGGTGGACTGTCGTCTCCCTTGGAAGCTGCTACCTTGTTAGAACCGGAGAAACAAGTGAGAAAACTCGTAAAGAGAGACATGGGAAATTAGGGTTTAGCTTGCAGGAATCTGAGGGGATCGGTACTTTGCTTGTGTAAGAGAAAAGTAATGGGGTTTTTCTGCTATGTTGATGGAAATAATATTTATGGTGATGTCTTATATATAAGCAGGGTGATGGGTTGTGAGGAAGGAGACAGGAAGCAGCTGAAGGACATGCATGAATCCTGGACTGATGGAGTTGCTTTCAGGTTTTTTTTTTTTGGAGGCCTTCTAGGAAACAAGCTGTGTGGGGATATAATTCGTGGTCCACATGGCAAGAAAGGATTAAGTTGACAAATTCAGCACAAGAGTTGGTACTTTGACTGTTACGACAAATTCAGCACAAGAATTGGTACTTTTGACTGTTATGACAAACTCAGCAGAAGAGTTGGTGACTGTTATGACAAATTCAGCACAAGAGTTGGTGACTGTTATGACAAATTCAGCACAAGAGTTGGTACTTTTGACTGTTAAGACAAATTCAGCACAAGAGTTGGTACTTCGACTATTATGATCTTCATGGTTAAGTTAGAAGCCTAAATCATATAATATACTTCTACAAATTCTGCAATTACAGTTCCATAATCCATACGTCTGATTTCTATCATTTATCTTATCAATAATTATGAGTAAACATCGTAAAATAATAAAAAAAAATATAGACTTCCGTAAGAAAAAAAAACTATAATGAAAAAGTAAAAATAATTTTTATACTAAATCTGAACCAAATCTCCACACCTATCAACGTTATTATAATTCTATATCATTATTTTCCAATTATGAAAATCATAGTGGGTAAAAAAATCTTTACAAAATAAAACTACTTCAACACATATAAATACTGAATTTAGTTAAATTCATATCCACGTATATCTCCATTTCTATGAATATCATCAAAATTTAATACTAAAGAATAAACACGTTTCGAAAAGTAAACATATGTGATTGAAGATTATAATCAACGACGGATACAATGGTTTATGTTAGATGTGTAAATTTCTAAAAATTTATATTAAAAGTTTACTGATATAAAAATTATAAAATTTCATAGG